AGCTCTACGTTTGAACAATTTCTAAAACGAGGTAAGTCACTGAAAAACAAGTTGATGAAACAAGAATATCAACAGTCTCGTTTAAAGTCATCATTTCGTTAGTTCTATGGTCGATACAATGACCTTGTCAGCAGACACAATCAAAACTTCTGTACTTTGATCTAATGATAGGGTATTATCATTATACTATGTGTTATGTGACATTAAGTCATATGCTGACTGACGTTTTTCATACTAATTGTAAGGCACTGAATTGTCGACGGATTTTTCCGTTATTTCCCGATCATGACAAGGAGCACACGGCGGGTGTGACCGGTCGGCAAGGGAAGCGCACTCCTCCATGGCACCAGATCCCACCTCTGATGTTTTTGGAGGTCCATGTTTGCTCTGCTCCCAATGTGAATTGTTTTAATGGACTTTGAGCTTGAATAGAATGAATACTGTTCGTATCTCTATATTTCATCGAAAGCGACATGAAAATAGGAATATCAATTGATTGATGGCATTACGAGAAAATGTTGCTGTATGGTAAGATGTTTTACAGGAAACCATTATTTGAGTTGTTTCACCATCCCCTCCATTGAGTGCGACACTTTTTTGTACACTACCAAGTTGGAGTATCTTCTTATCTTTCGTCGAGTTACTCACCAGTAAAAAAACCAGTAAAATCAGAAAAAAAAACAGTAAAGTGAAACCGATAGAAAACAAAATATTCCTCTAATTACCGATTGAATACCGGAGTTGCAAGAAAAAGACAACATAGGGCGATGAGTTTGAATATTTCCTCTTAAAATCAGACTGAATATTTCCTCTTAAAATCAGTCTAAATATTTTCTCTGAAATTCAAACTTGATATTTCCTTTCAAAATCTTCCTCTCGATCTTGAGATGCTTCTCCGTCCTGAAGCAGCATCAGCTGATACAGAAACATTAAAAAAAGAAACGACATTGTTGTTCAGTTGGGGGGCTCTGAGGGAGTTTATACTTAGGAGTTTATGCTTGGGAAAGTTAACTATGACCTTCATTATACATGGCTGTCACAAAGTTTTTATTACAAGGTATTGAAAATTTTAAAGAACGAAATTAAATTAAATGAAAGGTTACAATTAAATCCTTTCAAAACCTTGCTTCTTGATGCAGAACAAGAATTAAGAATCCTTGATCACTGAGGCATAAAAAATAACCTAGACTTATGTAGTCTTGTACGAGCTCAATAAATAATAAACATATACGATATAAATCAAAACGTGTTTGTATTTGTCCTTCCGTGTTGTTTGGGATAGAAGTGAATTTGTGTCCCCTGCCTCCTCCGCGCCAGCACCAGACTTTTCTGACGTCACTAATGTCTACGTGACACAAGAGTGCAAAAAGACATTAAGAATTAAGACATTTTTCTCTCACGAAAAGTGCAAAAATAAACAATGATATTTACAAGTTGGTAGGCATTAGTTACATCTACTTAATTAAGCGATAATGTGACATATCAACAGCTACTTTCCGTGAATTATTTGCGAAAACAACTTGGTATTGATTGGTGAAATTATAGGATAGGCAGACGATTAGCACTATACATAAATCGTGCACTGTTATATACTAGTAACATGTCATACCGATCTGTGATTCTTTTGGGATTACAGCCTCCTTGGCACGCAAAACATGGTTTCTCTGGTTTTCGAAAAAAAAAGGTATGCTCACTAGGAACCAAAAAACTTTCAACACCCGCCAATTGGATATCAATATTTACCGCCAAAATATGAACGACTTGGCATTAACAGCAAATAATTAATCGCTATCATCAAAGTTCAAACACACAGGCTGCTGCATTCAATATGTGTCCAAGAAGGAATTCTGAAAAAATTATATAGAAAATAGATTCTGTCGGAGTGCGTGAAGGATGCATAATGTTGATCAATTGTCAAATATGTTTATCAATACAGTTAATAAAACGTGTGTAAATTTTACGGTTTTCTATTCATTGCTGACGCCCAAAATAAGTACTCCTTTAAATGCAAAAAATTCTACATCTAAAACGCAAACATATAATCTGATTAAATTGCGCTGAACAAAAAGAATCCTTGACCTGGTTTTATTTATGCATGTTCAGTTGTTTGTTTCATCGCATTATGAACTGTTGTGACAGTCTAGATAGCTTCTGCGTTTTAAAAAGTTTCGATGCCATGTAACATGGCTATGGATTTTATGTACGGAAGTGTAATGCCATTTGCATTTGCAGGATTAATATGAGTCATTTTGCAATAAATCTAAGTAATAACACAATATTTATGTTAAATTTAGAATAAAGCTTTATTTTCTTTTAAATTTGGATGTGGAAGTTACCAGAATGATCCAGACCTTTTTTTTTTAATTGCGCCGATACAACGTCAGGTTTTTGCTGTTTGTCATAATAATTAACACCTCATATGTGTTAAAATTATATTGTGTTTTTCATCAATTTACAAACAAAATATTGAAACAAAAAATACATAGTTTTACCGTCAGACAACCATCAGTTCCTCTTTTTAAAGTGTAAAAGGTGTATAAAGTTAGAAACTTGTTTTACACTGACCATAAAAAGTAGATTGTGAAGATCAGCTGATGGAATGTGTACATGATTAAGAGATTTTATGTTCACCTTTACGAAGTCTTCCGTACACTGTAAATGGGAGAAAAAAATATCTGAAATGCTCTTTAGTCTGCATTCTCCGTAAGCTTACTTCAGGGATGTCCTTCATGTGATAAAATAATCTCTGATTCTGAGAACGTATGATTGAAAACGTTATTTACCACACGACATATCTACGTACTGTGGTATGTTGTGTTGTACTTTGGATGCTAAAGCAACGATAAACCAAGAGGCCAAACTTTGATCTGGAATACGGTGAAATTCGATATAACTATAACTGTAACCTTGATTTTTTTTTTTTGATCGACCCTATGTTGAAAATGAAATTGGTAGACTCATTTAATACCTTCACTTTTATACGACATTTTTTTTTCGCAAAGTCCAAAAAGCAATCTTTATTAGTGTTTAGAGCTTCCTTAAAGAAAACTTGGTTCTACTTCGTTTAACAAAATGAGAAAAAGAAAACACTGAGTACCTCTATAGATACAAGTATATGGTTAATTTTTTTTACATTGAAATGTATATATGACCGGATATACAGCGTTTGTTATGTCCATGTTCCGTCCACTCGTCTTATTTTTTGTTCAGCTCGATTAAAAAAAAAAAAATTGTTCAAGACACTTTTATTTAACTTCATACAGATTGGTGAGAGCATTTGAGGCAATTTCATTACATTGACCTTCTGTATGACCTTGACTTTAATGAACCTCATTTTGAGTTTCTTTTAGTTGATTGAGACATACTATGGGCAAGTTTTAGTTAGTAATTTGTTTTGACCATTTCTTTTTCAATCTGTTGCAATAGCATTTTGACCAAGTGTAAAACCATAGACAGCTCTTCTAACACCCTTTGAAAAATTATGACACAGTTGCTGGAAACGGAAGTATTTATGAAAATCGCTGTATCTGTCCTGGAGATGGAATACAAGCTGTTGATTTAATGAAACAAATAAGAAACACGAGATTAATATGCATCATTAAAAAAAAAATCGTGGAAAAAGGTAGAGAGAATTGTTAAAATTCATTAGTCCATGGAATGCTAGTAGATCCTTAACTATCCAATTAACTTCTGAAGTTTTGATAAAGGAACCTCTTATAGGAGGCGTTAGTTTTTTTTTACTGAACTATGCATAGCGAGGTTTTTCTCCCTATACTACTTCACTTTTTCACAGAAAGAAACTCGAGATCTGCTTGACAGAACATGCTTCATTTTGTCCCGATGGCTCTTTAGTAAACATTTGTACATGTTCATAATCAATGTGCATAAACTTTTTTCCCTGTGATTGCATACATTTGTCTAAATGAAATTTAATGTTTAAATTAATTGTGTGATTTTAAAAGAAGTTTTACGATGTCTTTATTTTAGTGAATGTTTTCTCCAATTCAGTGGAAAATTGGAGGAGCATATAATAGTTCTATATTCGATAGCTGGTGTACGCCTGATCTCAGATTGCATGGCTAAATGTAATGATTAAACCTGTCTAAAACCGATGTTGCTTGTGTTATTGTAAAGTTGATATCGTCGAAAAAGTTGATTACTTTATTGCAACTTTTCTAAGAAAAGTTTTCGGAAAAAAGTATTTATATCATTTTTTTTAATTTACAAAAACCTTTTGATTATGGGAACTCTTGCTTTATTTCTATAATTCCAAGTACACGTATATTACTTCGCCCATAGGTGTCAATTTTACGATTCAATAACGTCCATGTGATTTGATTTGGTGTGTTGTGTGTTATTACAGAATATACTTGTTTTTTCTGATACTAATGCTGCTGTTTATGTAAATACAGGGTGACTGAGAATCACGTTCTCACACATTTAAATACTGATACATGTAACTGTGAACAGTTAGCGCAACGACTTACGATACCAAGTAATCGGTTATTCCAACTGGATAAGAATATCCAGTAAACTCTAAAATTCACTATTATTTCAGAGTTTTGAAAATTCGATCCCGTATTATGCATGCATGGTTTATCTAAATTATATAATTAAATGTATCAGAGAAACTTGTTGAACAAAAAACAAAAAAATAATAATCAGCAATCTAGCGTTGGAGGAGAAAAGTTAGCAAGTTTTGAAAATAGATTCAGTAAAAAATAAAATACATGTGTAAACATGTATAATTGATTGAGTTTTCTGTGTTTGCTTTTCTTACTTTTATTAATTTCAGTGTTGTTTTTCAAGAAGTGTCAACTTTATAAAAGCCTTAAATGACGCATTTTGTCTATTTTTGAATTAGTTGTTGCATTGATAGTCAATTTAACAATAATCTTTTCCGACGTATTCAAAAGTTTTTGATGCAAACTGCGTCACTATGTCACAGCTGTATTGATTTGATTTAATTCTATGCATTCCTGTTACTACGGAAGCTGTTGCATCCAGTGTAACCAATCAAATCTTTCGACCTCAGTTTATCTTGAATGTCTCCGCCCACATTTGAACAAAGACACGCGAGACTAAGCGCCTCGTTGTTTGACATTTGTACTACGTGGCTTACTTTGAATCTACAGGTTTACAGCTCTTTATCCAGAAGAAAAGCTTTGTTACTACATTTGATCTGTGCTGTGGGATGATTTCAGCTAAAATCTGCAGAATGGCGGAAGCACTTCCTATGCAGTAAGCATTGTTATACAATTATTTGTTTCCCGTTTACGCCTATGCTACTTTGTGGTCTCTGTTCTATGTATATAAATATTTATGTTTATTTTAAAAAAAATGCAAAATCATGACTTTAATGTGCTTGCAACATGAATAACAATATATGTATTTGTCTTGCCTGATGCAATGGCTCGAACAAAGCAATCGAACTCTGCAAAAGTTCAGCCATTGACACTGTATCGAAAACAGCTGTTTGGTGTTTACCCGTTGTCATTGCGTAATTTTCTGGAATGCTTGCAAATTTAGCAAATGTCTTGGCCTCTGCATCATGATTTTAAGCCTCTAAACACTGATCTATATGAAGAAAAAACAAACATTCTTTGTTCTTTTTCCCTTTGTGCGCAGGGTATTGCTAGCATCTAAAAATAGCGTGACTTCCCTCAGTCATGCCCCGAAGTCACATGATTTTCTTTTAACAAAAATGCGCGCTAATTCATACATGCATATAGGTAAAGTAATGCGATTTCAGTGATGGTGGCAGGCTTTCATGCACGATGCGTGAGCACAATAGGTATTACTATGGAGAAAGAGAAATAAAGCTAATAAGTATGAGAGATAAGTGTATTTTTAGATTATAAATGACTGTCTATAAATCTATCCAGTGTGTGGATAAGCATATGAGGCCTACAAAACTAAAAAATAAAAATAATATCTATTTGTTATAATTCGGGGACAAATGAACAGTGATTTTTTTTTTTTGGAATCCTTGATTTCTTAAGCCCATTGAGAAACTTCTGACAGCTGGCTGTCACATGAGAATTTTAAAATGCCAAAAGATATTAATGCATTACCAGTGTGAAAAATTTAAAAGTCAACCTCTTTCTTTCCTCCAAGTATTTCCTTGATTCTAGGATCATTGACCGCATTGTTTTGAGTTGTAATTCACTATATTTTAAAGGAAACTTGCACACTATACTAAAAATGTCGAAGTGTAGGTTTGAAATGAAAGGGTAGGTGTTGCTGAAAAAAAAACTTAAGCTTACACCTGAGCTTGCCCAAGTCCTATATACCCGGATTTGAAAACATTTAAAACACTCATTAGATAAAAAGGGTTTATGTAACATTTGATAAAATTCTTTCATAAAGATTAAATTATATTTTCATGGAAAGGTGGGTATATACCTATTTACCCTGATATGTCATTTTATTCTTGTAGAAAATCTGTAAATATTGGCCAAGCTTTGAAGGACACTCTTATACAAGCACTCGCTGATGATAGACTCGTTATAGGAGTGATGTCCTGTGCTAAACTTCTGGAAATGTAAGCCTTTTTATTTACTGAAATTTAATACCACTTTAACGGGACGAAATAGTGATATAAATCAGCTGAAATTTGGCAATTTGATGAGCATGTTAGGGTTTTGATGTTTTAAAGATTTCGTATAGAAACTGGATGAATTAAAATACAGCAGTCAAAGCATATAAATAATTTGAATTGGTTTATACAATGTACACATTTAGTTTATTAATTTTGTATCATTTTCAAAGAGACATGGTGAGAAATCCATAAAACTTGCATTTTCCGTATCCAACAGAATATATTTACTACACCAATAGTTTTAAAACATCATTCTACCCCAGGCTTTTTTTTTCTATACTTTATTGTGTTTGGAATATTACCTCTGACCTTAACATTGCTGATTTTCCAGAAGCCCCGAGAGCGTGATGGTTTGCATTTTACCTGCCTCTGTCCCAAGTCATGACGTCACATTCCACATCCAGCAAACTCTTGTAGAGGCCTTCTGTGTAGAACATTGCATTCCAATCCTAAAGGTAATTATTGAAAATGGAAAGTTTGTCGTTGAAAACTGATGGAAAAATTATGAGTTGCAATCCTGACCTTTCTTTATTGAGGGGGCTGTATACTTTATTGATTTTTCAACCAAATTTGGATGTTTTTCTCCCGAAATGCGCATGAAGTTTGACGTTTAATGTCACAGAGTGACGTGGGAGTGCACAGCTGGCCCTGACTGCAACATAGTTCACATGAAAACCTGTGCACATCATTGACTTGTTTGTTTTTAACAGTTAAATATATAATAGGAAGACCATTCACTTGTGGGATTTGACCGTGTTTAATTTCCTTCCACCATATATTATTGTTAATAGTTTGTGTGGGAGATTTGATAATCCAACAATTCAGAGTCCCAATAATAAAAGTTATATTAAGCACCAAGTTTAAAAATACACTGGCGAATGGTTTCCTGAACCTAGAAATCGTACCGGGAAAAACATTAAAAATGATTAGATATGAGTATTATTCATACAATAAATGTAAGAGAGAGGGGGAAGGGAGAGTCGACATATTTTGGTCCATGAAAAATATAGAAATGTTATGTACTTGCTCAGATTGGCGACTCTGAGAAGCTAGCCATGACGTTGACAGAGAGGCAGGATGCTGCCAATAACAATAATGACAAACCGGAGGAGGGGGATAAGGACCTCACCTGTCTGCTAGTACAGGTAAATATTATTTTACTTATTATATACATGTACAAGTAAAAATTCACATATTGTTTTCAGACTATTAACGGATGGATCGCACCAATCCTGTCATGCCTATATATATTTGTAGTTTAAAATTATAGTGGGCGGTAAATTTCAAACACTTGCAAACAGATGATTTGGTGAAATAAGAAAACAGATCTTCATTTTTATCCATATACTATTTGACTATCAATTATTTCTATAAATTGTGCATTGCTACACTATGAAAAAGGCTATAGAAGCATTCAAATACTTTGGTACCAACTGAATGTAAGAGAACTACATGTAAGTATATGTTAGATGAGGTTCACCTGTAATTTGTGAATTACAACACATGCTGCTTTTAATTCACACAGGAAGTTTTATCACCTGACATAATTTATCATGCTTGGTTTTTTATGTCTGGAAGGTTAAAGTGAATCATGAATTAATATTGCATTAATGTGTGTTAGTTCCGATATTATAGGGAAATACTAGAAAGTTCATGTGTGAAACATTGGTAATGTCATAATACACATGAATAAGCTTTTGTTTTTTTGAAATCCAGGAAATCTTCATTGAAATGGATTACTTTATTAATAACATTGTGAAGATATGGAAGCAGAAACAAGGAACTGTAAATTATTAGAAACATGAAAACCTTTTAATACAATTAACACATAATGATTGTAATATGTTTCTTTCTTAGAATCCGGAAGTTAAAAGTCATTCCGACCAGTTTGTCACGGAGTTCTGTGAAAGGATTTTTCTCACTCATCCCAAAATAGAATTACCCGTGTGATATTGGAGGAGGATTATTTCCTTAAAAATCAGGTAAAATTACCCGGAAAGGTAAAAGTCAACAATTTTAACCAAAATATGTCAATATTAACAGAAACAGATCTTTTGTATGGATTTATTAAGATTATTCCTATTTTGTAGGATATGCCTGAACGACTGCGTCATGTTGAATGGTTCCACACACAGTTCGGCTGACACCGTTCTGTAGTGGACGAAATGAAACGCCAGGACCACGTGTCCCTTTAGAGGGGGCGTGGTCAAGCGTTAGAAGAGGACTAAAAAAGGCTGAAGTTGATGTCACAAATGACCTGCAGATACCTGCAATATAAAGTTTATTTTACTGTTATCGATTTAAATCATTAAATATTTCTATCGTCTTGTTTTGTTCATTTATTTATTCAGATTCTAAATATGAGCTTGTAAAATCTCTCGACCTTTTCTTGTCTTTTCGTTGCGCTTATACGACCAGATTTGGGCATGTAAGTATAACAGACATACGAGTAAATTTTATTTCGTTAGCAAATTTCTTAGTATACCGTATAAATCCCTTGATACAAATTTTACTCATACAACTAAGCGTGGTAATACTTGGATGTAAATATAGCATGTAAGCATATAAGTAAATGTTCTGTCGCAGTGTATTATTTGCTTAATGAACATCTATTAATTTTACTTAAAGTGATCATTTTCATGATAGGTTCAATACAAAGACATTTATTATCAAGTGATGGACTGTACAGATTTCTATACTGAAACGCAAAAGAAACGCAACATCCTTTTTAGGGGAAAATATTACATACAGGATATGATTTTGTATCTAAAAAGTAAGAACATCTTCAACTTTGTAAATATCGGTAATTTAACGGTTGAATGATTTTCATACTATTACCGGCAGTTAAGTTAAAGTCCGCTTAACAGAAATCAAAAATTGCATGTTTAACAAAACATTTGGCAATAATATGGGGTTAGAAGGATTTGTATTTGTTCATCATAAGTAATGCAGCAATGTTTCAAAAAATAAATTCCCCTTTCTTTTCCGTAAGTAATGCCAAGGCTTCCTGAAAATGACTTAAGTACGCATTTCCATTGCTCTAGCTGGAAAATCTCATGATAAAGGTGATGGAGAGTTGCAGATGCAGATATGACCCACATCACGCCCCAACAGCCTCTTACGTATCATTAGCATTCATGACAGTCCTTAGACCGGAAGTCCAAGGGTTACTATACTGCGCTTGGCTAGAGAAAATTCGACCTCATCATCTGAAAAACAGGCATTTAAAATTGGCAAAGAATATTTCTTTCGCTCAGATCTCGAGATTGATGAACCTATTACATTGTAGAATTCAAGCTGCAACTGTTGTGCATGGCAGTCTTGCACGCTGTAATTTAATGACCGGGGTGGGGGTCATGTGCTACTTTCTAAATTAGAAGATAATCATTTAACATTTTTATCAAATCTCTGATATTTTCAATCAAGTTTTACCTTAGTGTATTCATTTTTGAAAATCATTAGATAAAAAATTCAAATATTTGTAGAATACTGCTTGTTGCGTTTCTTTTGCGTTTCAGTATATATTCAGGTCAATGAACAGCTTTATATATATAAAACTATATATAATGAATGAATTTCACGATTAAGATGTGAGCTTTAATGATAAAACACAGACAATTGTGTATACTGAGTGTGCAGCTAAAATATTGGGATAAAAGCCAGGAACGAAGAAAAAATTTGTAAACGAGTACTGAAGGTTACTCAATCTAATTAAAATTAGATGTTCCGAATCCGCTACCGCTTCTCAAAGATGTTTGAGAAGCGGTAGCGGATTCGGAACATCTGATTTTAATTAGATTAGAGGGTTACGTAAGAGTACGTAAAATAGTATTGTTTAGTATGAACTGGGTTAATTTCCTTTTGAACTTTTAATTGTAAGAAAATTGAAAAATCTTAAATATTGGTTGAAACTAAGGCATGGAACAAGTGATAATTAAATTCCTACATTATGTCTATAATATATGATATTAAATAATAATGACTGGATTGTTAATTAATATTAAAAAATGAATTTCATAGGCTAGGTTTTTAATGGCACGCCATTATAATTGTGTAAGAAGTACATGCAACGCATTTGCTATTTTATATCATAAATTGTGTGATGTACTAATGTAAGTCCAAAATATTAGATCAGATTTATGTTGATCACTAATGTGCCTCATTTCTGACATCTTGCCCTCCATTCTTACTTAAACAAACCAATACATTTGAAATATATAATGATTAAGACTGTCCGCACATTGTTTAATGATTGAACAAGAAAGAGAGAAAGAATGCAAGAAATAACATAATATGTAAGCTGATATAAAGGACACATTTCATTTCATTCCAAAATGCTCATAATTTACATAACAAAAAACACAGTAAAAATTACTTCTCCCAGAGACCAAGCGTTTTTAAACTAGTCCAATTACTAGTACTTTTACACAGAATGTTAATAAATTGTGTGAATTGGGGAGGGGGTGCATTTAGTTAATACAACACGAACATTTTCCTTAATTTATATTTTACTGAAATTATTATTAAGGACAGACGATACATTCCTAAATAATATATAATTTTTTTTCTGAGATTTTGTCACTGAAGTATTGCAACTTTAACATGTTTACTGTTAAAAATAATCGAGGTACCTTACCAGGCATTTGTGCAAGATACCAGAGGATGTTGTTTCCTATAAAATCCTTTTGGAAAAAACTTAATTAGCCAATAACACATTTTTTAGTGTTTCATTTTTTAAAAGACAATTAAAAACCAGTTTAGAAATCAGAAGGTAATTAAAATTTTGAATATTTTCCACACAATACCAAGATATACAAAACAGATATTTGAGGAATGTATCGTCTGACCTTAAGTGTAGTATATAATACACGTTAAATAGCAATTCTATAGTTTAATGTACATCATGTATATGTTTGTAAATATTGTATATGAGATATACATATACTGTGTATGCCTCTCGAATCTAATAAACTGAACATTATTGAATTTATAGCAGTAGAGGTATTCTTGTCAGAGGTTTTTTTTTCTCTCCTTCTATAGAATTACAGTTTGCAAAAGTCGTTTTCGGTTTACATCACTCTCTGTGGAGCTGTTTATATATATATATATATATATATATATATATATATATATATATATATATATATATATATATATTTACATATGGCACAGACCACAGTATTTTTTCATTTATTACAACTTGTGTTTAAAATGACAGGAAATATTTTTGTAATGAAAATGCAATAGAATTTTTTTTTTTAACATAAGATACTTTTGTCCTTTCCTTTTCCTTCCTCTTCCAAGTAAATCGATAATTAAATTTTGCTTGGGAAAGGGGGTTATTTAATTGCACAAAGAAGAAAGTTATGAAAGCTTACTCGGGTATGATTTGCACAGTAAAACTACTTCGAGAAATATTCTTTAGAAAATGCCATAAATTGTATCTCAAACACCCATCCCCGTGTTTTTGTTTTGTTTTTTTTTTTGTGTTTTTTTTTTCACGTTATTTTAAAACACGAAAGTACGTACTGTCGCAACACAAAATAAGACAAGATAAGCAAAAATGTTTACTTGTTATCGTTTCACCTGAAATAAGTTAAAAGTACAAAATAATGTGTAGTAATAATAGAATTTATCTATCATATGAATAACATTTTTCTACCATTACATTATGTGCTTATTTTTCAAACCAACGGTATTTGTCATTCAAAGTCAAATATATTTCAACTTTTCATTTTACTCCCAAACTAAATCCTGAATCTAAAAGAACAGTTCATAATTTAGTTTACACTTTATTGTAAATTTGGAAATGAAAAAAAATTACAAAGAAGAAGGTACAACCACAATGAATCAAAAACTCATCCCTACACCAATCATAACGCAGTGACGTACGCTTTAACGTTTGTGACGTAGTGTCATATGATATAATGAAAGAAAATTCATTTGTTCGAAATGTCTTACAAGTTGCTAGAAATTGAAGAAAAATGAAATTCCATTATAAAAAAAAAATAACTTGTTGAGCTTATTTTAAAAAGCAAAATGGATAGTGGCAGATCTATAGAAAAGAAAGTTGCTCTACATTTAAACGTGAGGATCTTTATGCATTTACACCATTCTCATTTTTAATTGTAATTCACCAGTTGATGGTGGTAATTCCTTAATTATCGAGATTTATTGTGTAATTTTGTCTTAGAACATGCAAAAGTTTTAAGGGAATACATGTATATCGACGGAATTAACAGAACTGTGTTACCGGGGTTACTTAAATTATGGTGCAGTAAAACCCAAATCATGATCTTCATTATCAAATGTTTGAAAATTGGTATTCAGTTTTCCCTACTCCAATTTAAAGTACGTCTTGTCGACTGATAAATATAAATGCAGAATGATTTTTTTTTTCTTGCAATCTTCAAAGTACTCATTACATTATGTTTATTTTTCAAACCAACGGCATTTGCATTTAATATCATCTTTTCAATGATACATGTACATTTTTCTCTAAAACTTATCCAAAACTAAAAGGACGGTTCATAATTTCAACTACACTTCAGATTAAACTTGAAAAATAAAAAGAGAAAGTATTTAAAAAAACTGTTTTTTGGTAAATCAAAAACTCATCGATTCAGTTTCACCACTGTGCCTTCTCATCCATATTCTTAATGTAATACTATTCCGCACCATTGTTCCACATTGATATCAGCTAGGAATGGTAGTAAAAGGTCATTCCATTGAAAAAAAAAATCTCCAGTAATTTCTATACTTATAAATTAATAAATTTTGCAAATAAACTCCGAAACGGCTGCACCAGAGTTCTTACTTACTCCTCTAAGAATAAACTAGATACAAGATGATGTCCGTAAACTATATTTAGATTTCACTCGCATAGTAAGTATCGTACATTGAATTAAAAGTCTACTTTCATTTTCTATAAACAGCCATGGAATAGCAACACCGTGAGTACGGTGGCGTTTCCGGTTGGCGGATCTAAGTTACTGGCAATTTTAATGAAATTGACAACAAGCAATCGTTTATTTATTTCATAAAAAGTCATCACTGAATTATTCAATCAAAACTTGATTTAAATGATATAAAAGAAATAAGTTGTGATTAACGATTAAAAAGGGAAATGTGCAAATTATTTTCGTCATTCACCGATCTTAATATTGACGGAAGCTTCTAGAACATCATAAAGGATCGAGCCCGATGTTAAAAAGAAAAACGCCGCGTGAACATTGGTCATTGAAATAATTGTAAATCATTGATAACACTATAAGTTGTGAATATATTTAGATATCGAAAGACTATTACATATATGTAGTAGGTTTT